TTGTCAATAAGTCCCTTGCAACATTAGCATTTTCCCCTGATTTATGGTCCTTGTCCATGAAAAGGCAGAGTTGGCAAATCCTCCTACTGAGGGAGGCTTTGCCATAATATCTTGCCTCATGGAAAAGTACTGAGGCCCTTGTCATGCTGCTGCAACCAAAAAAGAAAAAAAGGAAAATCTTAGCTGCACTGTACTGGCTTCGCAACTTGTTTGCTGGAGCTAGTAAATCTGCTCGTGGTGCTCGATATCCTCGGTGTCAACATGATTCATCTCACCCCTGCGCAGCGTGAGTTACATTGACGGTTGTGAAAGGGGTCTTTTACCGCCACAGCTGTGGAGTCGATCACACCGATCAGACGGATGCATACTGCTTACCCTGCACAAACAGCCTACAGATGTTTATCGGCTTTTGATGCCTCTCCGTCCCCACGGGCTTATCCGAGTTACTGGATAGGCCTATTTGTTCCTGACTCCTGAGAGATGAGCTGGGCTTGATTCCATGTTTCCTCCTGACCCGTAGAGCAAGGTCTTTCTGGGAAGATGGAAATCGGATGAACTTACTAAAAGGAGAGTGCATGCCGATCTCTGGGACCCGGGGTTATCTTGTAATGCCGATATGTTTATCTGATTGTTTGTTTATGTTCTAAGTAAACAATACCTTTTCCCTATTGCCTCATCATCTTTTGGGTATGTCAGTTCACAAGCAGACATAGCATAAACATAGAAAAACCCAACCAAACAAAAAAACAGGAGGCCCTTCTTACGTTGGTCAGTATCCCCATTTGGAATTAGGTAATAAGTGATTCTGGGTCAGCTGCCCTGTGATGCCGCGATCTTTATCTCACACCAGGAAACAATAAAATTCTTGAAAGTTAGACGATAAAACTTTATTTGAAAAAACGTCACTTTATGTTCAGCTTTGTTTGCACAAAAGAGAAAAAATGAGCCCTCCATCCGAAGAAAGAAGAAGAAGGCGTTAGGTGGTTGGGTTGAGTGTTCAAGCTCATGTTTACGAGTTTCATCACATGATGTTTGGGTATCAAAATACATATCTTTAAAACACTTGACTCTTGCTGCCATTGGAGCAGGCAGCATGTGATGTTCAAGAGGGAGATGTAAAATCTGCTTTGGCCTGCAAAGCTTCAGTGGCTGTAGGATGTGCTGTGCCGAGCTTAATTTAGCTTTAAAAGTAAGAAGATAGTACAGTGACTGTGGAAAAACACCAACGTTTGCAGCGCTTTCTTTTTGGATTAAAATTAGACATTTCTTATCAGCGCTGTGTGGCATGAGATATGTTTATTTAGTACGAGTCCCGCCTAGGGTAATATCCTAATCATCTTTTTCTGGTGTATCCCAGGGGGCTTCAATTTTAAGGAACTTACAATCCATGACACGGTATCAAATGTAGGATGACGTGAAGACTCCAGCGACAGTTTCCCTAATACTTAAACTGTCTTCACGTCATCAGATCTTTGTCTTCTCCATGCACCTTGGAAGTAGGTGAAGTTGTGCCATAAAAATTTATTGGGCATGTAATGTAGATCTAAATGTAGAAAATGCCTGGTGAGAAAAGTAATTTTAACTTTTAAGGACAGTATGTATGATAGGACCGATTTGATGGATTGCATTACAATGAATGCATTTCTGTTTTGGGTTATTTTATGCTAACTTTTCCTCCATTGCCATGTGTCTGTAACACTCCTTCCACAGTCACATGAAGGTGCTTATGAGCTGCAGCTGAACTAGTGAATATGTGTCGAAAGCTTAGCCTCTGAATGATGTTAAACGGGTTATAAATACGTGATTTACAATTTGTACCTCGAGGGTGTAATAAACTGTAACGAACGTACAGGTAGTACCTTCCCAAGAATGTGACGTCATATTTCCTTCCTACTGAGATATTTGATATTTAGTTGTGCAAGGTGCATTATTTTGAGTAGTGAGTGAACCGAGATTTTAAATAAACTCTTATGACTGGTCTTGGACGTAATGAAATAGCCCCTGCAGGCGCATGATGCACAAGTTTAATAGCCGTGCAGGACTAAAAGAAATGGATATATTGAGATGTTGCTATGCTATTTTCAGTATGCGGACTGTTATATAAGTGTCACTACAGTGTTTATGTGGCTGCTGTGTGTGACCTTTGTAGGACACTGCCTCTGGAAAGTTTGGAGATGACAACTCCTCCATAACTAATGAAGCCCCCCCGGCTTCAAGCACAGATTTCTCTGGCATCTCGCAGGTGGGCGTTGTCTCACTTCTGAGCTTTTATGGCAGAGCTGATAGAGGTTGGTCACCTGGGTCATATCGCCCTCATAACTGTGGCCCATTGCGTTTATTAGGAATCTGTGCTTGGGAACAAAGATGTAGAGATGCATGAAATTGTTTGTAATATGAACAGAGCAAGGAAGATTCAACTGAATAACTGAATGAGTGCCCATTAACAGATGCCCAGTAGATATATAAGCCTTCATTTTACACAAAGCATTTTTTTTCTGCTTTTAACATACAAAGCCAGAGTAATGTGTGCGATATAAAAAATTTGTGAGGATATGTGCCAAGAATAAAAATACCTCGGGAACCAGAACTAAACAGGCAGTCTGACCCACAGGACGTGGTTGGGGAGCATCTCTCATGTTTTTCACTAGAAATTAAACAGGAAATGCTTTTGGCATCACTGATTTTCATGTTTTGTCGCCTTCCTTACAAAAAATAAAGTTAAAGATTAGTAAAGCAAAGTTTATGCCAAAGTATATGAGAAGTAGTTTAAATTATGTTTCAGTGGACAAAAATCAATAATACGAATCCACTGGTTTACTTAAAACAGATGAGAGTATCCTATTCTTTTTTAAAAAGAACATCAACATCAAGCAGACCGATTAAAAAGAATATAAATAATATTATCATGAATTGCTAATTACTGTCTGAGAGTGTGTTGGGGTGGTAAAGTGGTCACAACCTCTTTAGATTTATTAAATCTGTGTATTCACCTGATCGGCATTTAAAGTCTTGTTGTAAAATAAAACCTTGCCAAGGCTGGTTTCTTTTTTCAACACTGACTGCATTATGATTGAAAATACTGAATATATTAACGTTGAACTGAAGGCTCTTGTCCATGGCTGCTATATTTAACCTTTATCTTGTTGCTTGGCTCATATTGTAGAACAACTGTTTCACCTTCCTTTATAGCAGACCTTCCCAAAGTGTGGGGCCC